CCTCCAGCCCCAGCCTCCACCCTCCAGCCCCAGCCTCCACCCTCCAGCCCAGCCTCTACCCTCCAGCCCCAGCCTCCACCCTCCAGCCCCAGCCTTGGTCCTCCAGCCCCAGCCTCGGCCCTCCAGCCCCAGCCTCCAGCCCCAGCTTCCACCCTCCAGCCCCAGCCTTGGTCCTCCAGCCCCAGCCTCCACCCTCCAGCCCCAGCCTCTACCCTCCAGCCCCAGCCTCCACCCTCCAGCCCCAGCCTCCACCCTCCAGCCCCAGCCTCCACCTTCCAGCCCCAGCCTCCACCCTCCAGCCCAGCCTCCACCCTCCAGCCCAGCCTCCACCCTCCAGCCCCAGCCTCTACCCTCCAGCCCCAGCCTCCACCCTCCAGCCCAGCCTCCATCCTGTAGCCATGCCTGGGGGAGCAGGTGCTATTCCCCCGAAGAAGGAGGATGGCCAGGAAGAGTTGTGCCCCTCCCACGGGTGCGTGGAGGCCCCCGGGGCGGCTGGCCACGCCCTTCCTCATGGCCGTCACATTAGGACAGTGGAACCAAGAGGCTCCAGTCAGACCAGGCAAGACACTCCCAGATGACATCCTGCTCCCCTCCCCCCCAAGAAGAGCCAGGGCGCGGCCGCCCTCCGGGAGCCTGGGGCCGCCCTCCGCCCCAGGGCTGAGCCCTGCCTGGTGGCACTCCTGCATTCCCGCCGGCCCTCGTCCCTCCCACCGCGACCTGTGCGGCGCGGAGCCTGGCCACGGCTCAGACGCCAGGAGCGACGACATCCCAGATTTTCTCCATGGCTCAATGGGCAAAATCTAAATCCCTCTTGGTGTGCGAAGCCCCCAGGAAGATGGGAACTCACTGCTGTTCCCCCAGGAACTGGAAAATGAAGGTGGTTAACAAAACAGCAAAGGGAAAATCTTTGGAGTCCATTAGCCCAGAAAAACATCCCCTCCAATAGAATTTGAGTGCATGGAAGGCTGTCTGTCCTCCACAGCAGAGACGGAGACCCCCAGCCAGAAAGGCACCAGCGAGCACGTGGGATCCCAGAGGATGTTCGTGCAGACAGCCGTGTGCATGTGTGAACAACGCGTGCAGGTGGTGCGCGCACATGTACAGGCCAGCACCCACGTGTCCACGGTCTGAGGCCCACGTGTGTGTGTGTGTGTGTGTGTGTGTGTGTGTGTGTGTGTGTGTGCCAGATCTCAAACGTTAAAATCCAAGAAGCCATCTCCTGGAACTTAAAGGGAAATCTGGGCCTGCAAAGGTTCTTTCTTTGTCCACTCTCTACATTCCTTCCTTCCCAGGCCCTGCACTCAAAGAACGTTTGAAACTAAATATAGCGGTTGGGGCCCGTTGTTCCTGGAACGAAAGGCATCCGGGTGGCACCTTGAATCGCGGCCACCCGCGCAGCGCATCTCTGGTGTGTGGTTCACACAATGGTTACTGTGAAAGGAGACACAGGAAGGCGCGCTTGCCGTGTTCACTTCACTCACTGGATACAGAACTTGGAGCCTCTTCTTTAAAGGTCCTTAGAATGGCCTGCCACTCCCCCTGCACCGTGGCGGGCGCTCACAGATAATACCACGCACCGGGTAGCAAAAAAAGTTTCCTGTGGCAGGAAATAGAACTTATTTAACTTGGTTTACAGATTGAGGCTAGCCCTTTTTTATTTCTCTTGAAGAATCCAAACAGCCTGCAGCATTTCATTCGTGAACACATCAGCGCGTGTGGTTGGTAAATGGTGGAGGCAATTAAGCCATTGTTCTGAAAGATGAAAAGACGCTGTTGGTCTTTGGAAGGGGTTTCATACCAGTCAGCTGACTCTGACAGCAGAAATGCTAAGTGGGAAGCACCAGGTGTGTGTGTGTGTGTGTGTGTGTGTGTGTGTGTGTGTGTGTGTGTGTGTGTCTGCATGCATGCGCGCACAAGCACATGGGCATGTGCATGCTTTTAACTTTGACCAGTGTGAGAGATGAAATCTTCAAGTCCCCGGCACTCTGGCTTCTC